CTCGGAAACGCACCTCCACGCCGCCTGCCGGGGCTCCAGCGCCCACCGCCAGGGCCCGGAGGACTGGCGGCTCCCTCCGAAGTTGGGAGCGGTCGGGATTTTTACAACTGCAGGTCGGTCCCCACCCACCGGGCCACGTGACTGGGGAGGGGGCAGCCGGTGCAGGCGTGTGGAGGAGCCTTTCGGGACCTCCTCCCCCGGGCACCCTCTGCCTGCAGCCGGGCACCCGGCCCGCGTTTCCGAGCCGGGGGAGCAGGTGCGGTCGGAAGCCCGCGGGCGGGCATAGAACGGGGGAGTGGCAAGGGTCCCCCACCTCCGCGGGAGCGCACGCGGCTGCGAGCCCTCATCTGCTCTCCGACCAGAGAAGCACCTGTTTTTCCCAACAAGTGCTAGGAATCCATCTAAAGAATCATTCACCATCCCTCCAGCGTCCTAAGTAAGAGCGATTGGAACCCGTTTTTCTTCTTGAATACATATTTTTAAGCCATTCTAATCAGGTTTCAGGCATCCTGGATTCTGGTCTCGACGTTGTGATTTGGCACAAAGCACGTTTCCATTCTGGAAACCACAACAACCCCCTCCACCCCATCACACAGGAGCAGACCTGGATGAGAAATATGTGCACTCAGCAAAGAACCAATGATAAAAGTAACAATATCGACGCTTACTGGGCCTTTACTATGTGCCAGGTACTGGAATAGACACTTAAAATGTAGTATCTCATTGGATCCTGGCAACAGCTTGTAAGATAGTATTCTCATCACCCCCATTTTACAGGCAAATACCTGATACCTTCTGTCTGGCCTTCTGAATGCTCCCTAGTTCCATTCCAATCCGTTGTTCACTGTGCTGCCAGAGTAATCTTCTCAAACAATAAGTGTGATCATCTCACTTCCCTGCTAAGAGCACCTCAAAAGGCTTCCTATTGCTCTAAGAGAAACCCACATTCTTGCATGGTCTGCCTAGACCCTGCATATCCACTCTGTGCTTCAGCCTCATAGCCCTTCTTCCAGTTCCTTCCAGTCACCTGTTGCCAAATGGCCTGCCTTTGACTGTCCTGCTCCCTCTGTGTGCAGTGTCCCCTCCTACCTTCTTCAGGAAACTCCTATGCTTCTTCCAGACCTCAGCTCCATTATCATTTCTTTAGAAAAGCCTTCTCTGACCTTCCAGAGAGGGTGAAGTCTCTCTAATTATATACTATGTATCTCTTGGGCATTTCACTTTCTGTGGGGGTAGGGGTAGGGGGGTACTGGTTGTTTAATTTGTCTCCCCCACTGATTGGAACCTCCAGGAAGGTGACTGAATCCGTTTTTTGCTTAGCATTGATGCCCTAATATGCAGAGGATTCTCAATAAATACTAGTGAAAGGATGGCAAAAAGTTAAGGTCATACCAAAGAAATCAAGTGGTAAAGCTGGCATCTACTCCCAGAACCTGTGCTGGACTACCTAGATCTGGAGAGACTGGGTTTGACCTCATGAAGTTGCTGCTTTTCCTCTGTTCTGCCTTCAACACTTGCCCCAGTTTCAGACACTGGGAAAACAAATCCAGAAGGCTGCTCACTTGGCTTCAAGGAAGCCCCAGGGCTGGATTCTTCCCTGTGTGCCCACCCTTTACTCTCCCCTACACACGGAGGACAGGGTTTCTAGGAGACAGGTGGGATTGCTGCTCACCTTCCAGTCCCCTGGCACACTTCCAGCAGTGAACAACAGTGGCTGCCCTGGCCCCTTCTGTCCCATTACCTGGATCCCTGCCTGATAACTCCTCCAGGTGTGGGTCACCCAGGGAACAGTGAAAGACAGCTTTGCCTTGTCTATCTAGGATAGGCGCCTCTGAGCTTGGCAAAGCATCAGGACAGGTCCAACAGTGAGGGCCCCTAGGGCTTTGGCTGGGACAGTGACTTTCCTCAGGGAGGAAGCCAGGCAGGTACACACTCTCGGGGGGAGTTGGAATCCCCACTCTTCAGGCTGCTCAGCTCAGTCCTGCAGCCTTTTTTGCTGAGGATGTCCTGACAGAAGAAGGGGGCTCTTTTCACAGCTAGATCCCCCTGGGAACACTAGGAAGCTGAATCTCTCTAGTTGAACTGGAATTTACCCATATCAGGTGTTGCTGAAAAATAAATGGGGCCTGGCTGGAACTGGGAATCTTTTTGTGAATTCAGAGCTCTTTGGTGTAGTGGCATTTGTGTTCTGCAGTTGGGTCTGTGGCTGTAATACCTGTTGGTCCCCTCACCTGTCTGAGACTTTCCTTGGACAGACTGATACCGTCACTGTCCTCAAGACTGCCTGCTTAATTTAAGGAGAGTTATCTCTGGGTGGTTTATCCTGTTTGCCCAAATGACTTTGAGTAAATCACTTCCTACCTCTGAGCCTCACTTTCCATATCTGTAAAATGGATGTAGTGAGATTGCATATACAGTGGTGCTTTGTCAACTCTCTAGGGCTGTACCAACAGAAAAGATTATTATTAATCCTCCGTATAGCCAACCAACCTCCCCTGCGTCAGTTACCCATCTTGGAGGAAGTAACATACAATATGGTTGTTAAAAACACAGGTTTTGGAGTCTAATACACTAGATTTGAATCCCTGCTCTGCTGCTTACTAGCTATGTGACCAGTTAGTTACTGCACCATTGTGAGCTTTCAGTTCTTCATCTAGAAAATTGTGCCAATATGTCTACTTCTCAGGGCTGCTGTGAGAAATAAAATGATAGATAGTATAATACACTGGTCATGTAGCATAGGCTTAGCAGAAGGTAGCAACCATCATTACCTGGAACAACTTCAGGAAAAATTGTAGGTTGCAGAACGCTCAGATTGGGGCTGGCGTATCCCTTCTCCAGGCTTCCCTACAGAGCTTCAGACACGAAGCCAGACTCGAGCATCATGCCCTATCCCTAGAATGAAGGCCTCCTGAGGCAGGGGCTGGCCAGCTCTCTTCCTCTCTTCAGTGTCTCCAGAGTCTGGATTTTCCATGTGCAATGGCTCTATCCTAAACTTCTCTGCATCTTCCCTTGGCTGTTATAGAAGATCTGTACTTGAAAATCATACTAGAAAATCCAGTACTGTTTCAGTTAGAATGCTATTCATGTTATTCTTCTTATAAGTGACAGATAGCCAGTTGAAAATTTCTGATGTGAAAATGTAAATTTGTGGTCCCCTTAATTTAAAAGTGCAGGACTTCAGGCATGGCTGGATCCAAAGACTCAAATGGCATTATCACTGTGTTTCAGCTCTGCTTTCCTCTGAGCTGATGCCCCTATAGGCAGGCCCTTCTTGTCTGATGGCTATTTGCAGCTCTAGGCTTACAACCTATTCTCCCAGCAACCCTCTTTTGGGTCTTCAGCTAACAGAGAGGCCTTTAAGAATGAGAAACAGGATGAGTGCTGAGGCTGGGAGGCCTGAAAAGTAGAGGAGAAGAACAGAGGATAAAGGGGAAACTGCCAAGAAATTTTCCTCCCCATTTCCTCCCTACCCATGCATATTGCCCTTGGCCATACCCTGAAGTTAGAATGGCCACTCCTAGGACCCTCTTCATGCACTACCCCATTCTTTCCTCCTCAGATGTCCTCACCACTACCCCAACCCCCTTTGGCAGGAAGATTCTTCAAACAGTTATCCAGATGTGTGCCAGGATCCCTGGCCACATGGTACCCCTGACTTGGCACCCAGCCCTGAAGACTGTGTCTGCTTTGGCAGGTTAAAGCAAGAGATATTTCTGTCCTTTTCCTTCAGAGTGATTGCCAACATCACCATGGCCTCAAGAAACAGGGCTGATGGCAGCCCTGCTGGTGTTTTCCAAAGTTGCCTGGGTCTTTTTGATCCATTACAGTCAGCAATGATTTGGTTTCATTTCCCGAGATGAGAACAGGCTTTGACCTCAACTCAGACAGCAAAAGAGGAGAAACAATGGAAAGAAAGAAAAACTCGGTATCTGAAGGAAGTGTGTCTGGTGGAAGTGGGGAAGTGGGGAGTCTAGGCTTGGCTTTGAATCTGGCTCCACCCTTTGCTTTCTGTGGGACCTTGGCCAAGTTACTGAAGCTCTCTGAGTCTCAGTTTACCCATCTTGCAGGGTTCTGTCTCATTTGAGTGAAATAATATATAAAGGCACAAAGTGGGCTCTCAATAAATATGTCCTGTTCCTCCTCTTTCCTTGCCCTCTCCAACATAGGTAGGGAACCCAGAAAAAGAGGGGCCCTTCTGAGCCTAGTGGGAAACTCTTCAGTATGGAAACGAGAACTCTGAAGATGGCAAGTCTCTCAGAATACAGCAAAGCATAGGCCTAACCCACCTGCTCCATATATCTTTATGTCAGCCCCAGCCAGAGGGGACAAGGCCTGTAGAGTGGCTCACACTGATGAGTAACTTGTCTACCTCAGGAGCACTGAGGGCTCTACCTCCTTCCCCCCGGTTAACTAAGCATGTTGCTCGGATGTGATGGTGTGCATGCTGGGCAAGCCACAGGGGCTGGGGGCCAGTGGCAGCAGAGAAGTGAAGTGCTCTGTGGAACATGTGTAGACTCCCAGGTGTACAAACACGTGCACACGCTCATGCTCATAGTGTTCCCTCTGACCAGTTTTCACACTGCTGTACACTGCCCAAAGAGAAAAGTCATTCAGGATTATTTACAAACTTTTAATTTGTAAAAAAAGTTTGAAACTTACAAAAAGTTGCAAACATAAAAATAGTAGAAAGAACACCTGTATATCCTTTTCACAGATTACCTGTTATTAACATTTTACTCCATTTGTTTTTCAGGTACTTATTGGCCATTTGTTTATCTTCGTGGAAACGTGTATTCAAATCCTTTGCCCATTTTTAACTGAGTTATTTGTCTTCTTATTATTGAATTGTGAGAGTTCTTTTTTTTTTTTAATACTTTAAGTTCTGGGGTACATGTACAGAACATGCAGGTTTGTTACATAGGTATACATGTGCCATGGTGGTTTGCTGCACCCATCAACCCATCGTCTACCTTACGTATTTCTCCTCAGCCCCCGACCCTGCAATGGGCCCCTGTGTGTGATGCCCCCACTCCAGTGTCCATGTGTTCTCACTGTTCAACTCCCACTTATGAGTGAGAACAGGCAGTGTTTGGTTTTCTGTTCCTGTGTTAGTTTGCTGAGAATGATGGTTTCCAGCTTCATTCATGTCCCTGCAAAGGACATGAACTCATCCTTTTTTATGGCTGCATAGTATTCCATGGTGTGTATGTGCCCCATTTTCTTTATCCAGTCTATCACTGATGAGCATTTGGGTTGGTTCCAAGTCTTTACTATTGTGAACAGTGCCGCAATAAACATACGTGTGTATGTGTCTTTATAGTAGAATGATTTATAACCATTTGGGTATATACCCAGTAATGGAATTGCTGGATCAAATGGTATTTCAAGTTCTCATTCCTTGAGAAATTGCCACACTG